AATCGCGCCTTTGCACCCTATACATTTTGATCCTTAAATTAGAAACGATCGTCTAGTCGCAAACAGACACCCGTTACCCTGAGGAGACGGTATCTTGGTCCAAGGGACTTCCTCTCTTTCCCTTTCTCTCTCTCTCTCTCTCTCTCTCTCTCTCTCTCTCTCTCTCTCTGTATGGCGGTACATAGTTACGAGCCGCAGGTCGCACTAAACCACACGTTAACATACAACTACTAAACACAGTTCCATTACATGCAGATCGTTCCATTTGTTACGGGACGTTGCGGAGTACGTCCCGGTACTTTTGGCCAAGGCTGCCACGGAGTTTCATGAATTCCACCAAGACATGTAATGGTTCTCCCAACAATGACATCACGGCGCAAGGATCGATAATAATACTGTCTGTCTGCTGTGTATATGTGTGTGTGTGTGTGTGTGTATGTTGTGTATGTGTGCGTTTGCGCGCCCCTATAGACGCTTTTGTGTGTGTGTGTGTGTGTGTGTGTGTGTGTGTGTGTGTGTGTGTGTGTGTGTGTGTGTGTGCAGCAAGATGCACGAGAAAGATACCCATTCAGCTCGGAAACCTTCGATTTCCGAAATTGCAAGATGCCCCAATGCGTTCTAATTTCGAGCGAATCAACCGTTTGTGATGAGATATCAATGCTTGGATGCCTACCAAACCTCTTATTACTTTGATCTTTACATACGAATATTGAAACGTATAATATATTAAAACATATATTCAGTATATGTATATATTTTTTATGTTGAAAGTTTAAATATTCGTATTTAAGTGCCAAAACAATAAGAATGTCCAGGTTCTTGCTTTTTGTTTTACTTAGCGGAAAACAACCACGCATATACACATATCTTTTTGCAAACTTTTTGTATATTTTTAAACTTCAAAATTCTATGTTGAAAGTTTATTTTTGTATTTAATCTCTCGAGTGGTCCGAAAAAATTTCGTTGAAAAATACTGAATTCCTTTTGATTTACATGAACTATATTGTATTTTCCTTTGCTCACTCCTGACGGAGTGAAAATACAAGTGAAAATTATATTCATTTCGCGTTCTATTTTTCAAAATTCTTCAAAGAGAACAGCAATCAAAATAAATCCAGATATATTTATTTAGAGAGAGGAAATTTGGGGAGAATCGCACAGTTACTTCAAATCACCACTGAAGAGATGAAAGATCAGAACAATAAGAAATCAGGTACACGCCCAGAGATTGGCGCTTTCGCCTTAATAGATCCGCAAAGTCGCGAGTAGGAAAGACTTTGAAATGTTTTCGAAAATTCGCCCTCCCTCTGCGGATAAACGCGTTCGGCGTGCGCGGTTAGGGGGTATCGATTTTCGCGAAGACAATTTGCCACGCTCCGCCGGGAAGCGTATTACCGGATGTAATTAACGATATCTAACGACAATTAGAGTCCTCCGTTAGTCTGAGCCCTTGGGGGATGCTTTTTCCCTCGCACCGCCGAGAGCCCGTCCCGATAATAAACCGGTCGCGCGGCTTTTAATTTCGCCAGCTTGCGCTCGCGTGCTCCGCTTGCGATCGTCGAACTTTAGGGGCGGACGTTAACGTGTCGCGAGCCGGCGCTTCGTTATCGCCGACAGGAAAATATGTGGTGAGAGACGCGCGAGTGTGTGTGCGCCATGACGCGGGTGTGTGATTGTCTCTCGCTCTGGGGCCGCGTCTCCGCGCGACTGATGGAATTCGCGAAACTACAGCGCGTTGTTCGCCGACCTTTCTGTTGATTCGGCTCTGTAACGCTGACTGCACAGCGGTCACGCGCGTATGAAGAGAGACACATGTGCCGGACACAGCGAAGTCTCATAATCGTGCAATCTCTGAAACGTGAGTTTTGTTTTCTGGGCAGTGATAGGGAGTGAACATCCTTTTTGTAACATGTTCCTAACCATGACTGCTCTCTAAAAGGGGAACGAGAATCTCGATGAATCACGTTTCAACAACAATAACAACGAAATAATCGTCATAATAATACGTTTAATATTCCTTGTGATGCACATCATATGTGTCAATTATCAGCGTGTCCAAATACGAGTCGCCTCGTTTACGTTAACAGGACTAAAAGCAATTTCGTCGTTTGATAACGCTGCTCTCTTTCTCTCTCTCTCTCTCTCTCTCTCTCTCTCTCTCTCTCTCTCTCTCTCTCTCTCTCTCTC